CACCGACACACACACCGACACACACACGACACACACAGACACACAGACACACCGACACACACACCGACACTCACCAACACACACACCGACACACACACTCACACACACACACACCAACACACACACCGACACACACACACAGACACACACGCACAGACACTGACACACACACAGACACACACATACCGACACACACCGACACACACACACACTGACACACACATAGACACTGACACACACACACCGACACACACACACACTGACACACACACACCGACACACACACACACACACACTGACACACACACAGCGACACACACACCGACACACACACACTCCAACACACACACCAACACACCACACACCGACACACACACACCGACACTCACCAACACACACACCGACACACACACACACACAGACACACACACACTGACACACACACCAACACACACACAGACACACACACACAGACACACACACCAACACACCAACACACACACATCGACACACAGACACACACGCACCGACACACACACACACACTGACACACACACGCCAACACACACACACACCAACACACACACACAGACACACACAGACACGCACACGTGCAACCCATGGCTGTGCGCGGCTAATTAGCATAATTATCGTTGGCGATAATTAACGAGGCATTAACGTTCATCCTGTGGATCGGGTGTTAAGTAGCGACATCATCTGCTGGTGGTCATGTGCAGAGCGTCCGGGGATAGAGCGTCTCGTGTAGCGGTGATACGGTGTCTGTGTGTGTCTGTGTGTGTGTCAGTGTGTGTGTGTGTGTCTGTGTGTGTGTCTGTGTGTGTGTGTGTCTGTGTGTGTGTGTGTGTAAGTGTGTGTTTGTGTCTGTGTGTGTGTGTAGCTGTGTGTGTGTGTGTCGGTGTGTGTGTGTCAGTGTGTGTGTCAGTGTTTGTGTGTGTGTCTGTGTGTGTGTGTCAGTGTGTGTCTGTGTGTGTGTCAGTGTGTGTGTGTCTGAGTTGGAGTGTGTGTGTGTCGGTGTGTGTGTGTCAGTGTCTGTGTGTGTGTCAGTGTGTGTGTGTTTGTGTGTGTGTCAGTGTGTGTGTGTCTGTGTTTGTGTGTGTGTCTGTGTTGGAGTGTGTGTCAGTGTGTGTGTGTTTGTGTGTGTGTGTCAGTGTGTGTGTGTCAGTGTGTGTGTGTCGGTGTGTGTGTTGGTGTGTGTGTGTCAGTGTGTTTGTGTCTGTGTGTGTGTGTCTGTGTGTGTGTGTCGGTGTGTCAGTGTGTCTGTGTGTGTGTGTGTCTGTGTTGGAGTGTGTGTGTGTCGGTGTGTGTGTGTCAGTGTGTGTGTCAGTGTGTCTGTGTGTGTGTGTCTGTGTGTGTATCAGTGTGTGTGTCAGTGTGTGTCTGTGTGTCTGTGTTTGTGTCAGTGTGTGCGTCAGTATATGTTGGCGTGTGTGTTTGTGTGTGTGTGTGTGTCGGTGTGTGTCGGTGTGTGTCTGTGTGTGTGTCTGTGTGTGTGTCAGTGTGTGTGTGTGTTCGTGTGTGTGTCTGTGTGTGTGTGTTGGTGTATGTTTGTATGTGTGTGTGTGTCAGTGTGTGTGTCGGTGTGTGTGTCTGTGTGTCTGTCGGTGTGTGTGGCAGTGTGTGTCTGTGTGTGTGTGTCTGTGTGTGTGTCTGTGTGTGTCTGTGTGTGTGTCTGTGTATCAGTGTGTGTGTCGGTGTGTGTGTGTCAGTGTGTGTGTGTCTGTGTGTGTGTAGTGTGTGTGTGTCTGTGTTGGAGTGTGTGTGTGTGTCGGTGTGTGTGTGTCAGTGTGTGTGTCAGTGTGTCTGTGTGTGTGTGTCAGTGTCTGTGTATGTGTCTGTGTGTGTGTCTGTGTGTTGTCTGTGTGTGTATGGCAGTGTGTGTGTGTCTGTGTGTATGTGTGTGTCAGTGTGTGTCTGTGTGTGTGTGTCTTTGTTGATGTTTGGCACGGCAACCTCTGGGTTTTGCCTGGGTCGCTCATAGCCTGGCTAAAGTGGTATGTTCATGCAGTCCCCACACTTACGAACACCCCATAATTACGAACACCCCATACTTACGAACACCCCACACTTACGAACACCCCGTACTTACGAACACCCCACACTTACGAACACCCCACACTTACGAACACCCCATACTTACGAACACCCCACACTTACGAACACTACACACCTACAAACACCCCCACTTACGTACACCCCAACGTACAAACACCCCAACGTACGAACACCCCGTACTTACGAACACCCCGCACTTACGAACACCCCCACTTACGTACACCCCGCACTTATGTACACCCCCACTTACGTACACCCCAACGTACAAACACCCGAACGTACGAACACCCCGTACTTACGAACACCCCCCACTTACGTACATCCCGAACTTACGTACACCCCCACTTACGAACACCCCCAGTTACGAACACCTCGAACTTACGAACACCCCGCACTTATGTACACCCCCACTTACGAACACCCCCACTTACGAACACCACCAACACTGTTTAACTGATGTTGGCTTTCGCGACCAATATCATCCACAATACAGGTTTCATTGTGGTTTCATCGCGTTTATTTACGTAAGATACCAACGACATTATAGATACGTAATGTTAAAAGAAGCGCAGTTAATTAAAGAGTTAATGAATGTCTTCTTGGTTCTTTCGGTAAAGTCACGTAGAAGGGAAGTAATAAAATAATAAAAAAAACATGATAAAATAATATAATAATATAATAAAATAAAATAATAAAATAATATATTTCCATTTAAAGCTTTCGTGACTGCAGGGATTCATCTTCATGGTTCTTTCGGTAAAGTCACGTAGAAGGGAAATAATAAAATAATAAAAATAAAACATAAATACAATTCTCACGACGTTTCGGCCACAACGCAAGCAGCCGTCTTCAGGTGTCTTTCCGACAGGCCTGTTCTTCACCTGAGGACGGCTGCTTGCGTTGTGGCCGAAACGTCGTGAGAATTGTTTTATTATGTTTTATTTTTATTATTTTATTACTTCCCTTCTACGTGACTTTACCGAAAGAACCAAGAAGATGAATCCCTGCAGTCACGAAAGCTTTAAATGGAAAGTTAATGAATGCTCACTGTGCATACAGAAGCCAGTCGTTACTAGGTGAATGGTTGATAAGTGAACACATTTGGATCTATGGAGGCACTACAATACACTACACTATATACTACTATACTACACTACTACACACTACACTACACTATTATTAATAGAGACCCATAGATACAGATATACACCCATAGAGACACACACAGAGACACACAGAGACACGTATAGATGAATAGAGACCCATAGACACACATTTACACCCATACAGACACGCAGAGACACACATAGAGATGCATAGAGATGATCAGAAACTAACAGAGATACATAGAGACCCGCAGACTTAACTAAAACTAAACTATTTTGATTGCCCAACGAATTGGTGGCCGATCGTATGGAATTGTATACTCGCTAAATACTCCTTAGGTACTCACTCACTCACGTACTTACTCACTCACCAACTCATTCAATCACCCACTCACTAATTTACTCATCCACTCACTCACTCACCCACTCACTTACCCACTCACTCACTCATCCACTCACTCAATCGCTCACTCACTCACCCACTCACGTACTTACTCACTCACCAACTCATTCAATCACCCACTCACAAATTTACTTACCAACTCACTCACTCACCCACTTACTCATTCACTCACTCACCCACTCACTCACTTCCACATTCACTCACTCACCCACTCACTCATTCACTCACTCATTCACTCAATCACTCACCCACTCACTCATTCACTCATCCACTCACTCACCCGCTCACTCACTCACCCACTCATTCACTCACTTACCCACTCACTCATTCACTCACCAACTCAATCACTGATTCAATCACTCACTGACTCAACCATTTACCCACTCACTCACCCACTCAATAAATCACGTACCCACTAACCCGCTTACTCACCAATTAACTCACTCATTCCCCTTATCTAATCCCTAAAGTTCAGGGTGGTGGTGATGGTAGTGTTGATGGAGGTGATGGTGATGATAGTGGTGATGATGGTGTTGCCAGGGTGGTGATGGTGGTGTAGTGGTTGTGATGGAGCTACGCTGATAGTGGTGATGATGATGATACTGGTGGTGATAGTGATAGTGTTGATGATGATGGTGATAGTGGTGATGATGATGATACTGGTGGTGATAGTGATAGTGATGATGATGGTGATGCTGGTGGTGATAGTGATAGTGATGATTATGGTGATGATGGTGATAGTGATAGTGGTGATGATGATGATACTGGTGGTGATAGTGATAGTGGTGATGATGGTGATGATGGTGGTGATAGTGATAGTGATGATGATGATGCTGGTGGTGATAGTGATAGTGATGATGATGGTGGTGATGGTGGTGATAGTGATAGTGATGATGATGATGCTGGTGGTGATAGTGATAGTGGTGATGATGGTGATGATAGTGATAGTGATGATGATGGTGATGCTGGTGGTGATAGTGATAGTGATGATGATGGTGATGCTGGTGGTGATAGTGATAGTGATGATTATGGTGATGATGGTGGTGATAGTGATAGTGGTGATGATGGTGATGATGGTGATGATAGTGATAGTGATGATGATGGTGATGCTGGTGGTGGTAGTGATAGTGGTGATGATGGTGATGCTGGTGGTGATAGTGATAGTGATGATGATGGTGATGCTGGTGGTGATAGTGATAGTGATGATGATGATGCTGGTGGTGGTAGTGATAGTGGTGATGATGGTGATGATGGTGGTGATAGTGATAGTGATGATGATGGTGATGCTGGTGGTGATAGTGATAGTGGTGATGATGGTGATGATGGTGGTGATAGTGGTGATGATGGTAATGATGGTGGTGATAGTGATAGTGGTGATGATGGTAATGATGGTGGTGAAAGTGCTGGTGACGATGGTGGTGCATTGTGTAAAAGCAGTTTACAACACAACTCCACCACTGCCACCACCACCACCACCACCACTCCACCACCACCACTCCACAACCACCACTCCACCACCACCACTACACCACTGCCACCACCATCACCACTCCACCACCACCACTGCCACCACTATCACCACTCCACCACCACCGCTCCACCACCACCACCACCACTCCACCACCACCACCGTTCCACCACTGCCACCACCACCACTCCACCACCACCACCACCGCTCCACCACCACCACCACCACCATCCTCCCATCTCGTCCCCCACCCACCTTCCTCCCTCACCTCGGCCGCTCACCCCGCCACCACCACCACCACCACCGCCACCACCACCGCCACCACCACCACCATGGCCGTGGTTGATTGCGCTGACAAGCGTGGTGGCTCACGCGATCCGTCACGCCGACTCCGCTGGGAGTCCACGCGGGGACTTCGGTGTGACACAACTAACACACGCAACAACCAACACACGCAACAACCAACACGCGCAACAACTAACACACGCAACAACCAACACGCGCAAAAACTAACACAAGCAACAACCAACACACGCAACAACCAACACGCAACAACTAACACACGCAACAACCAACACGCGCAACAACCAACACACGCAACAACCAACACACGCAACAACCAACCACCAACACACGCAACAACTAACACACACAACAACCAACCACCAACACACGCAACAACCAACACACGCAACAACCAACCACCAACACACGCAACAACCAACACACGCAACAACCAACCAACGCAACAACTAACACACGCAACAACCAACACACGCAACAACTAACACACGCAACAACCAACACACGCAACAACTAACACACGCAACAATCAACACACGCAACAACCAACACACGCAACAACCAACACACGCAACAACCAACACACGTAATAACTAACACACGCAACAATCAACACACGCAACAACTAACACACACAACAACCAACACACGCAACAATCAACACACGCAACAACCAACACACGCAACAACCAACACACGTAATAACTAACACACGCAACAATCAACACACGCAACAACTAACACACACAACAACCAACACACGCAACAATCAACACACGCAACAACCAACACACGCAACAACCAACACACGTAATAACTAACACACGCAACAATCAACACACGCAACACCTAACACACACAACAACCAACACACGCAACAACTAACACACGCAACAACCAACACAAATGTGATTGAGTGGGTGAGTGGGTGAGTTGGTAGGTGGGTGAGTGGGTGGGTGGGTGAGTGGGTGAGTGAGTGGGTGAGTGAGTGGGTGGGTGAGTTGCTGGGTGGGTGAGTGGGTGAATTGGTAGGTGGGTGAGTGGGTGAGTGGGAGGGTGAGTGGGTGAGTGGGTGGTTGAGCGAGTGGGTGAGTGGGTGAGTTCGTTGGTAGGTCGGTGAGTGGGTGAATGGGTGAGTAAGTGGGTGAGTTGGTAGGTGGGTGAGTGGGTGAGTGAGTGGGTGGGTGAGTTGCTGGGTGGGTGAGTGAGTGGGTGGGTGAGTGGGTGAGTTGGTGGGTGAGTGAGTGGCACGTGCTAGAGAAGAGATGGAGTGATGTGGTACAGGAGGACGTGGAGCTGAGTGGACTTGCCCATGACCGAAACCAGCGGTGTCAAGGTCGGCCTCTGTGGAGGAGGAGGCTCGTGAAGGACGCTACTGGGCAGTGCCAGGCTAGGTGCACTGTGAGGCTACTGGGGACGGTGGAGGCAGTCGCCCTCCAGTAACAACGGAGGGCGGAGGAGCGACGCCCACAACAACGAGCGAAGCTCCGGGCGGATAAAACGCAGCGAGTTGGCACAGTGAGGGGCACAGGTGGTGCATCAGCCACTCATCTCAGTCAATAAGCCCATGGCACCTGCTGGGTCTGTCCCGTGACCTCCTCCTGCACCTAGCCTGGCACAGCAGTCAACCCACGGCACCTGCTGGGTCTGTCCCGTGACCTCCTCCTGCACCTAGCCTGGCACAGCAGTCAACTCATGGCACCACCTGGGTCTGTCCCGTGACCTCCTCCTGCACCTAGCCTGGCACAGCAGTCAACCCACGGCACCTGCTGGGTCTGCCCCGTGACCTCCTCATCATGCACCTAGCCTGGCACAGCAGTCAACCCATGGCACCTGCTGGGTCTGTCCCGTGACCTCCTCCTGCACCTAGCCTGGCACAGCAGTCAACCCACGGCACCTGCAGGGTCCGTCCCGTGACCTCCTCCTGCACCTAGCCTGGCACAGCAGTCAACCCACGGCACCTGCAGGGTCCGTCCCGTGACCTCCTCCTGCACCTAGCCTGGTACAAGCTCCGTGGCGACGTCATCGCCAAAGTGGGGAGC